TCCTGCTGTAAGCCCTGTGTTTGGTCCCCAAGTACCAAAAAACAGAACAAAACAACCTCTTTCTAGGAAGACCCAGTTTAGCAATCAGCACCCTTGGAGACAGAACCCAGCAGGTTCTAAGCCTAGTCAATCACCCTTGCAGCCCGTGCTCCCGTCCAATCTGGGCCTCAGGCTTGGGCTTGCTCCAGCAGCGGGGGCAGACGTGTACCGAGCCCAGGTCATTGCTACGCTTTTTCATTGCCGGCTGGTCTACTACACAATATCGGGTCATTCTGATCTGACACATTCCAAGCAGCGGCAAAGAAGCTGAGAAGCGGAATTTGCTCCCTTGGACTCTAGGCGCAAGGAGGCACATACCAGCTCCGTGTGAGGACTTGCTTTCTAGGAGCGGGACCGAGCGGAAGCAGGGTGAGTGTCCTGTTCGAGCGCGTGCCAGACACGGCAGAGCCAGGGCACCGCAGGCTGGCTAGGTGGGCAAGAGCCAGGTGGACGGTGAAGGTTCCTTCCAGCCAAGAGCTGTCAACAGCAGGGGCACACTGCAGGCTGTAGGAGGGTAGTGGGGCTCCGCAGGTTAGTTACATCCTGGCCAGGAAGCCTGATAACTGCTCAGCTCTCTCTCACTCACTCGCTCTCTCTGACAGAGGGTCTTGCTGTGTAGTTCAGCCCGCCTTCAATTTGTGGCAGCCCTCTTACCTCAGCCTCCCAGGCGCTGGGGTTGCAAGCGTGCGCTACCATGCCTGGCAGATCTGGCATTTCTACTTCTAGGTGTCCGCCCCAAAGAAGGGACATGGATAGACACTTGTACACTCAAGTTACAGCACAATTCACAACAGCGAAAAGGTGAAAGTGTCCATAGATAAACAAAACATGGCATACGCCGGAGACCAGACTCGTAAGGTCACACTGCTGAACGTGAAGGGACCTCTGGCCATGCTGGAAGAGCTCACAGTCACAGCGCTCTGAAGTCAAGCTAACGTCACAGCCGAGGCAGCCAAGGACACGGGCTGTGGACACTATTCCACAGCAATAAAGCTGCCAGCCTTAGACATCCGACAGTTGTCCTAACTGGCAAGATTTCAGGCCCTCATCATTTTGGCGGGCCTTGTGCCCTCCTCTTCCTGCACCCCTAAATCTGTGAAAACCCAATAAATACGGCGACCCAGAAGAGTCCTTATCTCTACTCCCAGAGAGTTCTGACCTTCCCGGACTCCCCAAAAACCATACCACTTGTCTCTTTATTTAAGCTTCGTTGTACTCATTTTAGGAGGGTGGGGGCTAGCCCAAGTCCCCGACAGGCGTATACACAAAACGGAATATTATTCAGACCTTGAAAGGGAATTCTGACCAGGCAATAATTGATGAGTCAGGAGGATGGCACACTAGGTGAAAGAAGCCAGTCACAAAAGGACAGACACTGCATGAGTCTACGCATACAAAATACCTAGAAAGTGAAATTCAGAGAGACAGAAACTGGAACAATGGCTGGCAGAACTGGCTAGAGGATCAGGGAACCAGGGTTATTGTTTAATGAGGACAGAGCTTCCCTCTGCAGTGATGAAAAAGTTCTGGAGATGGATGCTCATGATAGCCACCTAACAGTGTGACGTGTTTCATGGCTCTGAACGGTACACTTCACGCTGGCTGCGGTACCTGGGCACGGTGGCACATTCCCATAAGCCCAGAGAGAAGGTGGAGGTTCGAAGGTTGAGGGCAGCCTGGGAAACTCAGTGAGACTCTGCCACAAAATAAAAAATTGGGGGATGGAGCTCAGGGATGGGGTGCTTGCTTAGCATGTGTGAGGCCCTGGGTTCAATCACAAACACGCACACACAGACATACGTACTTACACACAGAGAGGTTACAGTGGTAAATTTTATGCAGTGCATATTTTACCATAAAAACTCTTGCTAATATTTTGTAGATTGATGGCACCTGATTTTTCCATTCTTTCTCCTACAGAATATGCACACTGATTTGGACAGTTTGCTTGAGCATAAGGAATTTATATAGAAGCGGATGCTTTTTTGATAACACTTAGCTAGCTTAACTTACATTACTTATTCAGGAACTTGAAGTTCTAATTATGTACATTTTGGCCTAGTCATAAATTAGTCACACTTGGCATATTGCACCTTATTTAGGCAACAACTGTGTACTTGCTAAGTGGATGAACGAGCTTTCAATTTTACTTCTGGTTAGACATGGAAGCTTAAATGCAAGGAACTGAGCATCTTTCGTTTTTTGGAGAGTCATAAGAAGTAGGGAAAATGTTTAAAAATCTCTCACCAGCACAGCAGCAGCGCAGCTGCCTTGGTCATCACTAGCAGGTGGCCATCTTGTTCCTCCGCCTCTGCCTCCACCTGCGTCTGTCCTTGTTGCCAGTCCCTAGGTCTCTGGTTTCGTGGTGGGCCTTTGTCTTACTTCTGTCTCCCTTCTCCTGCCCACCCACCATCCTGGCAGGGGAGGCGGCCCTTGCAGGACCTGGGTCACCCTGCCACTCCCTGCTCCGACCCCCGGCTTTCCAGCTCTCTGCTCTGCCCATGTGCTGGGCACCGGCCTCTGGGTCTCAACTTGACAAGACCCAAAGGTAGCAGAACTGGGGACTCCCAGCCCCACAGAGGAGACCTCCCAGCTGGGTCCGCATGCCCCAACTCCACGCCAAGCTTCCTCCCCCAGCCCCACCCTGAGCAATCTACTTCCGCAGTGACTCCAGCACTCAGGCCTCCTCCCTGCCTGCACCATCCTGGGACATGGAGAATTCCTGTGGAATTTGGAAGACAGGAGACCAGTGTGGGGAGACAGGGTGGCTCCAGGAACAGGGCTGCAGGCACCCAGCATGGTGACCGAGCTGCTCTGTGGCTGTGACTCGCACTCCCTCATCTCCTAATGGAAGTCTTGTGCTGTTTCATGCACCTCTAAACTTATGCTCAGAAATATTAAAAGTCTTACAAGTCAGTAAGCATCATCTTCTGTAAGAACATAGCACCAGGCAATCTACAAGATGTTTCCTATGCATATCTCACTTGGTCTTCAAGATAATGTCACAAAGTAGGCATCCTTAGCATCTCTGGTTACAGCTGAGGAAACTGAGTCATAAAATAACTTACCCAAGGTCACCCACAGACAAGGCAGAGGAGCTGGGAGCTGAACCAGCAGCACACAGCCCCCTTGATGGGGGGCACTGACCCACCAACCTGGCACCCCCATCCCTGCCAGGCCAGGGCCCGTGCTCCATGGATCAGACTGTCCAGAGGGAGGGAGATGGCACGAGCGTCCCAGCCACTCATTCACCACTCTCATCCACATAGCAAGTGAACAGCTGTGCGCCAGCCACACCCTGGGCACGGAGCGCCAGACTGCATCTGGCTCATAGCGTGGCACATCTTTCCTTCTCTGGGGCTCCCTCTTGCCCTCCTTTGCCTGCTGATTGACAATTTTACCTTCAAGACCCAGCCAAGGTATTTACCCCTCCACCAAAGACTTTCATTCATTCCTGTTGGCTCACAGGTGGGGCTCCAAAAATATATGTTTTGTAGTTGTTGTTCAGTTTTGTTTTTTGAGACAGAGTCTCTCCATGTAGCTCAGGCTGGCCCTGCACTCATGATATTGCACTCACAGCAATCCTCCTGCCTCAGCTTCCAAAGTGCTGGGATTACAGGCGTGTACCACCATACCTTACCAGAAATGTATGTTTGTTTGTTTTTAACTTAATATACTCCTTCCTGCTCCAATATACCTTCTGCCTCCAGCCCTTGTGTTTATAAACTATAGATGTTAAGGGATTAAAGAACAGGAGATACATTTATGTTTAAGGAAGTTTTAGGGGATGCTTTTTAAAAATATATATACTATGGAAGTGTAACCTGTTTTTTTGTAATGAATGCATTTTAGAAAAGCGGAAGGTACATGAGTTTTTTTACAAATTAAAATCCTATCTGCTCACTGTAACATGTTTCAGAGATGCCTTACCTTCTTTTAAAATTTAAGTATCCATAATGACCACATTCATTATAGGGAATTTGTATCTGTATATGATATATCTTTGTTCCTCTTTTTTTCTTTTTTTTCAATTCTCATTCCCTCTTTTCAAACCCCCTTCCCCTTCCCATTCAAAAAGCTCGGTTTCCATTTTATCCTGCTATTAAACTTTGACTTTTAAAAATGCTGGGCCTGACAACTGGGACATAAACTTCTCTAAGTGACTCTCCACACAGCTGAACATCACGCACACAGGACGCCTAAGGTGTCAGCACACACTCCACATTTAAAGAACTCTGTTAGAATCCTTTTGTAAAACTATCAAAGCCGGGCATGGTGGCACACACCTGCAACCCCAGCACTCGGGAGGCTGAGGCAGGAGGATCATTGCAAGTTTGAGGCCAGCCTGGGCTACCAAGTGAGCTCAAGGCCAGCCTGAACTGCATAGCGAGACCCTGTCTCAAAAAGACAGAGAGAAAAAAAAAAAAAAAAACTACCGATCACCTCTACTTTGTAGATTTTATGTTCTGATTTGGGGAGCACAAGTCAAACAGAACTAAATAGCTGCAGCAAAAACCGAGCAGTTCTCTGCAAAAGGCTGTCCACCCCGCCCTACCCCTCCCCGAAGAAACCACGTTCTGTTCTTTCTGGCTCAGCGATTTCCTAGCGCTTTGTGGGGTCACGGCTGGAGCCCACAAGCCACAGAGCTTTGCTGAAAATATTCCTCAAGCTCTGCTAATACCGAGGAGGCGTGTGGGGCTGAGGGAGGTGGTCTGGTTATTGGCACGCTCAGAGGGATGCCTGAGTGTGGTTTCCATCAAAAAATACCTTTATCAGACACTCAGCTGGTGATGTGGAGAGGGAGGAGCTATAGCCTTGGACCACACAGAAAGGCCTGGCAGAGGAGGACTCGGGCGAGAAAGGAGCAGACCTCCTGGATATAACCCTATGCTAATCTCTGCCTGGGAGATTTCCACGGCCACGGTTCCCATGGCAATAGTGCAAATGTGTGTGAGACTTACTTGTGCACGTTTTTTTATCCGGATTTAGAGTAAATCCTTCGTGGCATTTGCACGAGTAGGAGCCATCTGCATTTATACACGTGTGTTCACACCCGTGGTCTTCTGAGCCGCAGTAGTCTACAGCTGCAGAAAACAGGACACAGTCAGAGTTCAGTTAGAAATTCAGGTCAGTGTCATGTTAAACAGAGAGACGCTCAAAGCTTTCCCTCTAAAATCAGGAACAAGACAAGGATGGCCATTATCACCACTCCTGTTCAACACAGTCCTTGAAACATCAGCCAGAGCAATCAGAGAGGGAAATAAAAGGGGTGTGTATAGGAAAGGAAAAAGTCAAATTATTGTTATTTGCAGATGACACAATCCTCTACATGGAAGACCCAAAAATTTCCACTAAAGACTTCTAGAATTCATAACCAAATCGAGCAAAGTAGTAGGATACAAAATCAACACACAAAAATCAATAGCATTCCTGTACGTCAACAATGAACCCACCACGAAAGAAATGAGGAAACCAATACCATGCACAGCAGCATCAAGAAAAATTGAATACACAGGAGTTAACCTAGCCAAGGAAGTGAAAGACCTCTACAACAAAAACTATAGTTCTCTGAAAAAAAAAAAAAAAAAAAAAAAAAGATGGATGAGGGCATCAGAAAATGAGAAGACAGGGCCAGGGATATAGCTCAGCGGCACAGTGCCTGCCTAGCAAGTGCAAGGTCCTAAGTTTCATTCCCAGTACCAAAAAAAAAACAGAAAAGAAAAGAAAATGAGAAGACAGCTCCTGTTCCTGGAGAGGCAGAACCAGTGTTGTCAAAATGACTGTACTTCTCAACTGATACAGAGATTTAATACAATCCCAATTAAAATACCTACAGAATTTCTCGCAGAACTAGCGAAAACAATCCTAAAATTCACATGGAACCAGAAGACACCCAGAAGAGCTAGCAAAAGTAGTCCTGAGCAACAAGAGCAAAGTCAGATTTCAAGTTACATTACAAAGCTACATGATAAAAACAGCATGGTATCGGCACACCTGGGAGACAGCATCCCAGGTAAAAGAAACGGCAAGCACAAACAGCAGGTGTCAGGGATGCTGCCTGTTGGCTAAAGGACCAGCAGGGAGGCCATGGGGGCAGGAGGGGACCCATGGGTGACAGCAAGGTCTTCAGCTTCTATTCCTAGTGGGTTGGGTCATTGGAGGATTCTAAACAGAGGAGTTGAGAATGGACTGTGGAAGGCAATGACAGCAGAAAGCAGCCAGGAAGCTACACCCAGGCTTACACCCAGGATGTGGGCAGGACAGGTGCTCTGGAGGCCATGGTTGAATTGTGTCTCCCAAAGCATATAGCATAGTCCTAAGCCCTGGTAGCTGTGGCCTAGGTGGAAATAGGGTCTTCACTGAGGTAGTCACCTTCAGATGCGGTCACTGGACGGGGGCTGATCTGCCATTTCTGATGCCGTATAAAGCGAAGGATACAGGGAGACTGTGGTGATAGCGCTGTGAGGCCACAACACTAAAGGAGGATCTTGGCCACCTCCGGGTGCTGTGAGGCCAGGAGGGAGTCCCCTCCACAGGCCCCAGAGGCAGCTGGGACCCGCAGCAGCCTGAGTGCAGAGCTCCATCCACCTGTGCTGTGTGACACTGCTGTTGTGTGTGGTGCTTTGTCACGGTAGCCCTAGGAAACGACATCACTGGTAGACAAGGAACAGAGGGTGGGGAGGCTTCCTGTGGATGAGGAGGGAAGCAAGAGAAAGGGAGGCATTAAAGCTGACTCTGGGACTACGCTATGTGAACACACTGCGTCTCAGTCCTTCTTTCCCCTCCCGTCTCGGTCTATCACTAGCTCTCCTTCCCAGCTCACAAGGTCTCTCTCCCCTAGTCCTGTCACCTATCTTTCATTTTGCTCTTTACATTAGCTATCATTTGGGTTTCTCATCTGAGAGAAACCTACCATTATACTCACGATGACCTAACTGTAAACAGGAAGACAAACAAACCAAATCTGGTGAGAAAAAGTAGATCCCAAGCTTGTATATTCACAGTGATTATGTCCTTTCCTAAGGCAGAGCCAGGAAATTAGAAATAAGAAAGCTTGTTGTGTGAAGGTGGGAGAATTATGTATAAACCTTATCCCTTTAAAAAATGTTTCCCTCTTCAATGTAGTAATGTCCAACGTTTGTAAATAAATAAAAAAAGAAAACCAGGGGCCAGGGATGTAGCTCAGTGGCATAAGCACCTACCTGGCAAGCACAAGGTCCTGAGTTCGATTCCCAGTACAAAAAACAACAACAACAACAACAAAATTTGTAAATAAGAACAAGGACAAATTAGTACACAGCTACAATTTTCTTAAGAAAACAAAATTATGCCATGGAGAAGACAATGACACACTGAACACAATAACAAATAGAAGCAAAGAAAAAAGCTACAGATTTTTAAAGGGTAATTGCCTGCATTGTGTTTTTTCTTTTGCCCTAGGCTTCATTAAATTTCTGTCTAATGTACCCTTTTTGTAACTTCACCTCCTGAACAGTTTTAATAGTACCTACCATTTGTCATTAGGGTGGGAACAAGTGACACTGCCTCAGGGTCTGGTGTCATGGACATTAGCCGGATGCTGGGTTGAGTCATAATATAAGTATCTAGCTAGCACCAAAGCCTTCTAAATGTTAATTTCTCATCTTTCAAGAATCAATGGGCAGGGACCTGGGATATAGCTCAGTGGGGTAAGCGCCTGCCTGGCAAGTGCAAGGTCCACAGTTCAATTCCTGGTTCCAAAAAAAAAATAGAAGAATCAATGGGCAGCCGGGTATGGTGGCACATGCCTGTAATCCCAGCACTCAGGAGGCTGAGGCAGGAGGATTGCTGTGAGTTTGAGGCCAGCCTGGGCTACATAGTGAGTCGAAGCCCAGCCTGAACTGCATAGTGAAACCCTGTCTCAAAAAAAAAAAAAAATTAATTAGTTAAATTGATAGTTTTGGAGAGACTTGAGGCAATTTCCCAACCAAAACTACTATAGGATGAGGCATTGATAAAACAAGTGGAAAAGATCATCTCACTTTCATTAATATTTACAAGGATACTGTTCTACCAAAGTCTTCAAATCCTTGTTCCAGTTTAAAGAACTCAGAACTGAAAATCATAGACAACATGTTGTTGGTATGATTGATGCAACCAAGATTTTAAAATATTTTTATTCAAATCAACCTTAGTATTTTTTTGAGTATATTCTTAAAATTACTTGTTATTAAATGTACATTTGTGTGTTTTAAACAAAAATAATTAAGGTAGGTCTGGATAGGTACTTTTTTTAGAATTCTCCTCTTTGAGTTATGTTTTCCATTAATCTGCCAGCCATAGGTCCAACTTCACTCAGGTACCACTGGATCCCTGGTCTGTATAATCAGAAGGTGTCAAAAGCCCACCTTGGTTTGAGAGCCACCCCCTGATTCATGCTAGGTCACTGGGGACAACAGATGCAGCAGCTGGATTGGAGAAGCTCATTTCCAGAACCTCCAAGTGTTTTAAGGCCAAATTCTAGTGCATCCAACTCTGACATCCTTTTCCAAATGTTTTGGGTTCATTGCACAACTTCCTTGGTTGTAAAACTGTACTTGTAAAAAGGAAGTCAAAGGGCTAGGCATGGTGGCACATGCATGTAACCCCAGCACTCTGGGAGGCTGGGGCAGGAGGATCTCAAGTTCACAAGTTTAAACTCAGCCGTGGCAACTTGGTAACTTAGCAAGATCATGTGTCAGAATTTTATTTTTTTTTTTTGTTTTCCATAAAAATTTATTTTAAAAAGAGGCAACTGTTTAAAACAACAACATGATAGCAACTGATGGTTTTTTTTTTTTTGGTATCACGAATTGAACTCAGGACCTTGCACTTGCCAGGCAGGTGCTTGTGCCACTTGGTTATATCCCCTGCCCTAGAATTTTAAAATAGATAAATAGATGGACTGGGGCTGCAGCTCAGTGAGAAGCCCCTGGGTTCAATCTCCAGTGCCAGGAAAAAAGAGAGAGAGGAAGGCCAAGGTTAGGGGACAGATGTGTAATGGTGACCTTTCTGTGTAACTCCAGAATGCCTCTATCGTCCCTCAGCTACATCAGCACATCCTTTCTCAGCCATTTCTGCCTGAAATTTCCACATGCTCCTTTCCAAATGGAAAGAACGTGGTCATTCCCTGGTGTCCACTGGCCTCTAGATCACAGAGTGCCAGGGTGCTGGGGTCGGAAGTCAGTCTCTGCTGCATGGGAGGTCACCTGGCTGCGTCCATGGGTAAGCGATACTGAGGTGCAAGGTAATGACCATCTTAATGGTCATTTCTGATTTACAATCTGCTCACACCTCAAGGTTTTCAGGAGGAATCAGCCTGCGGAAACAGGACGTTTTAGAGAGGAGCATTTGGATTTTAACGTTTGTTGAAGATAAAGTAAGAAACACTAAATGTGCCATGAGAGAAATGGTAGAGCCAGTTCACCTGCTGAGCATGTATTAGGCACACACATGCAGACTCATTAAACCTTCCCTCCCATGTGCTCATGGGAAGCTTCTTACCAATTTTGAGAGCACCAGAGGAATGTTATGGGCAGATTGTGTCCCCCTATAAATTCATATGTTGAAGCCTTAACCTCTAATATTTCAGAATGTGACTATATTTGGAGATGAAAGCCTTTCAAGAGGTGATTACGTTAAAACGAGGCTGTTAGCTGGGTGTAACAGCACACATCTGTAATCCTGGCACTCTGGGTGGCTGAAACAGGAAGGTCGAAAGCTTGAACCCAGCCTGCGTAACTTAGTGACTTAGACAGGCTCTGTCTTGGTAGGGCTTTCATACTGAGCTGCACACAGGCCCCAAATCGGTTGCTGGTGGAGGACGCCCAGGGTCCTTTCTTACCTCTGCTGTCTTCTAAATCTCCCTGCTAAGTCTGGCACCTGTTGTCTTCATCTTTGACGATTTCCTTCACACCGATGCCCTCGCATTAGGCTGCCTATGTAGCTGTCTCTAGGGAGCGCCTCGCTGGGACTGTCTCTGTCTGGCTAGCAGCCCCGGGAGCAAGCCTTCCCTCCCCAGGCCAGCCTCAGATCCTTGTACTTGAGAGTACTGCCATCTCCACACTGTCACTGCCTGACATATCTTCCCTGGCCTTGGACACCTGTCCAACTGCTGGCCTCCCCTCTGGGCCAGGTCTTCCTGCCTCTCCACGGCTTGTCTTCTCTGACCTCTGCAGCTCTATGTCTGTCAGCTCCACGGAGCAGCGGCAACCTTCCGAGACTCCCCACTGAGGCCCCTGACCCTGAGATCTGCTCATCTCTCGAGAAGCTTCTCCAGGGGCCAGCACAGTGGTGGTGAGGATGATGATGCTGGGGACGGAGGGATGGGACTGGGTCTCTCCCATCCTTCCCCCTTCGGCTCGGGGCCCTCCAAGGACAGCCAGGCATTCTCCAATGCTCATAGGCAGCAGCCAGAGAAAGGTCACCTCTAATAACACAGCCCACCAGCTCCCTGGCAACACATCATCGCCCGGCTCACGCTTTTGCTTTGTAATAAACGTCAAATCCCAGAATTCATAGCAGAAGCATAGAGACACAAATGCTCCCTACGACTCTGGGATGATCAGGCAATCATTTGCCAACACTCAGAAAACTGGCTGCCCACTGCCCTCCGGTTCCCAAGGCTAAGGCTTCTCCTCCCCGTGCGCCTCGGACCCGGGTTCCCTCATTCCTTCCCTCACCCACCAACCAGCCCACTCGCCTGGCTTCCAGGGACCCTCACAGGCTTTCCTCCTGGCGGCCCTACCTCCTTCCCCCCAACAGCACCCAGCGTTCCTGCCCGCTGGACAAGCAGCACGGGGTTGACAAGAAGGCGCTAAAACAAAGCCGACTTCATTCTCTTAAGCATCAGCCGGAAGTGTTTTTCCCCTAACTCTCCACTGATTTTTACACTGTGTGGGTGGTACACAATAACTACGTTCATCCAGGGGAAATGATCACACATCACAGCCTTCCCTTCCCACACTGCTATATCTTTATTCACCCTGACTTCTGAACGGGATGGAGCTAGAGCAGGAACCAGCACATGCCACACATCATCTCTAGGTCACTTTACTCCTGCTCCCCACCCCGGCCTCCCTCCTCCCCCTTCCCCACAGAGTCCGCCTGCCTCTTTCCTACCACCTCTCTTCCATTTTGTTCTTCAAATTATTTGCATTTGGGTCTCTTGGATTGAATCTTCTGTGTCTGATCTGTTTCGCTCTGCATTATGGTCTTGAGATCCATGTCCTCCAGTGGCTCACAGGCCTCCTTCCGGCTGAGCAGCACTCCATGAACAAGAAGTTGGAAACAGATATTTCCATGGGGAAGGAGACACAACAAACTACTAATGGTGACTTTCTAATCTGAGTTCATCAGTGAAAGTATCTGTAAATATCGATTCTTTCTGCTTCATTGTAATGAAGCAGAAAGAATCGATGTTTACACATATTGACATCCTTTTTGCTAGTGTTTGCAGGAAATGCTAGTGCTAGCGCTAGTGCCTGCCACTCTGTCATGGTCACCAGCAGCAGATGAAGACAATCCTTCCAAACAACAAACAAGCAAAAAACACCCCTATGGCTAAGAAGACCGATCCTATCTCTAGGCGTCTGACCAGCCTCATCGGTGTGAAAAACCAAACAAAGCTGCCGTCATTCATTGACGAAGAGCAGCTACCACCTTCTGCTGTGCTGTTTTCTGTTCACATCCCTTGCTGAGAATCAAGGTGGCGGCACAGGTGAATTCTTTTTTTTTTTTTTTTTTTGGTTTTTCTCCGGTACCGGGAACCAAACTCACGACCTTGCGCTTGCCAGGCAGGCGCTTTTGCCGCTGAGCTAAATCCCCAGCCCCCGGCACAGGTGAATTCTATGTGCGAACATAAATGAGTAAACAAGTAAGCGGGCACTGGGCTGGGGATTTAGCTCAGCGGCACAGCGCCTGCCTGGCAAGCACAATGTCGTGAGTTTGATTCCTGGTACCAGAAGAAAGAAAAAAAAAAAGTAAGCAGGAGCGCATTGTGAGAAGCAGACATAACAAATACAGTAGGGCGCCAGAAAGCAACAGGGACTGGGGGAGAAAATGCAGGATTTAGGGAGAAAAGCAAGGCTCCGGTCCTGATGCCTGTTCCGCAGGTGCCGAGGAGAACTAGGAGCCAGCACTGACCAAATCGCTGCCACTCTACCTCTGCCACCTCTCACCCGAGCACCCAGCATGGAGGCACCTGAGAGGGAAGGAGCTGAGCCAGCTGCAAGCTCATGCCAGCGTGGCCAGGCTCTGCCCCAGAGCTGAGGGCTTGGGCTTGGGCTGAGGCCACGGTCTTCTCCGAATGCACTGTCTTGATGCAGACAGCTGGGCTCTCTCACGAGGCAGTCACTTGGGCCGCTTGATGACCAGCAGGTGCATTAGACAGGAAACAGGGGTCGGTATCTTTGAGTGCCACCCAGCTCCCCTACCCACTGCCAAATGCACTTCATGTTAATCCACAGGCTGTGTTTAAGCCAGGCCACTTCATGTGAACAAAATCCACATGGTCCTTCTCAGGCAGTGTAGTAAAAGATGAGTCCATTCCCATAAGATTATTGTTAATAGGCCTTTTGCTGAGGATCTGAGTGAATGAATGCTGACCTCAGCCACACAAGACGTCTTCAGAATTCAAACTCTGCCTAACTAGATCAAGGAGCTGAGCATTTTGCTGAAACCCTGAGGAGACTGGGAGGTTCGAGCTGAGCCTCCCTCCCGCCTTCCCGCTTGGCTTTCTTCCCCGAGAAGCCGAGGGAGGATACTCACCCACACACCGCTTCCCATCCTCGGCCAGCGAGTAGCCACTGTAGCACTGGCAGACGAAGGAGCCGGGCACGTTCACACAGAGCTGCTCACACGCGTGGTCCTCCAGGGCACACAGGTCCTGGACTGAGGCAAAGTTGCACCGTGAGAACACAGCTAGGGAGGGAGGAGAAGCCCAGAACCACGGGATGGACAACTCCACAGCTTTGCTGAAAGTAACTTTTTAAAAATACTACAAGTACTAATAGGTAATGAGTAGAAAACAAAAATACATCAAAGGAAAGCCAGGCGTGGTGGTACATGCCTCTAATTCCAGCACTTGAGAGGCTGAGGCAGGAGGATTGAGGCGAGTTCAAGGCCAGCCTGGGTTCCATAGTGAGTTTAAGGCCAGCCTGAACTATATAGCATGACTCTGTCTCAAAAAAAAAAAAAAAAAAAGTCAAAGGAAATGCTCTACCCAGAGCCATCCACTTTTAACATTTGGTGAGTTTCTGCATCTATAAAAATGTAGTATTTATCTTTTTTTTTTTTTTTTTTTTTTTGGAGACAGGATCTTGCTATACAGTTCAGGCTGGCCTTGAACTCACTATGTTGCCCAGGCTGGCCTCAAACTTGTGGCAATCCTCCTGCCTCAGCCTCCTGAGTGCTGGGATTATAGGTGTGTGCCACCACACCCAGCAAAACATAGTCTTAAAGTTGAAATTATTTTTCACCTCTATGAAATACATTAAGTAAGTTTTAATTACTACCACTTTGTAATTTCCTATGTCAGTGAAAGGTGCTCAGAAGCTATTTGGACTTGTTTGTGTCCAGCTCTGCTCCTGTTCTCTGGATACTGAATATGCTCCATAATCAGTCTCAGTGACAGACAAGATGACTTGGCCTGCCTTTGACATAGTGCAGATGGGGACACTGCATGCAGGAGGGCCAGTTCAAGGACTTTCTACTCCACTGAAAACATGGTAAGTCTACAAACAGCCCCTCACTGCCAAGTTCCCAGCAACTTTTCTTCTCCACGCATCTAAAGGAAAATCTTTGAAAACTCTGTGCTCTGTTCATTCATCCCAGTAACGAAACAAGAGTAGGTAGAGGTAAGAAAGTGACCAGGGAGGAATGGATGTATGGCGACTCACGGTCTTGTTTTGGTCAAATATTTACAATATGTGCATTATATATGCACAAATATTTATTATACGTGCCAAGCCCTGGATATTAATTCACATGCAATGTAGGATCGCACTCTCAGGCCTGCACTGACCGCCAGCAAAGTAAGAATCTACCAGAGGACGAGGAGGCTAGAGTGCACCCCGGACTCAGTCTCTCCTTGGCAGACAGGACGAGGCTGTTTCCCAGCAGGGGGATGGCTTGAGTGCTAGGAAACAGCTGGCGGCACCAGGATCTTACTGTTACAAGTGTAGAAAAGCAGCACGGATTGAAGGGGTTGAGCATGGTAAAGAGCAATGTCTCTGGTTAGAAGCTTTCGCTACTAGAGGTGTGATAAAATCTTGGCTACCTAGAAAGCTTGATTGGCTCTGGACTCCAACCGTTATATTACATATCACCTCCTAGATTTCTGAGTTTCACAGTTTATTGTACTTTTAGGTAAATATAAGATATCAAACTGAACCAGGCGTGGTGGTGCACACCTGTAATCCCAGCACTCGGGAGGCTGAAGCAGAAGGATCACTGCAAGTTCGAGACCAGCCTGGGCTACAAAGTGAGCTCAAGGGCAGCCTGAACTGCAGAGCAAGACCCTGTCTCAAAAAAAAAGATATCAAACTGGTAAGCTAAAAGCTGATTTGGTTCAGCATCCCTATTATATCTATTATATCATTTTTTAAAATACGATCTACCTCATCACACTTAAAAATGTTTAGGTCTAAGATTCTACAAATAAAGATTCTGTAAAAATCCTAAAAGAAGGATTTTCATTCCCAAATCAGTAAGGTACATGAAAAAAAATTGTAGTCTCAAATTCCTTTGCTTCTTACTAGCCTTGTATCTTAGATTCCCATGTGGGAATTCCACCTGGGGTTTCAATGTTGGTTTCCAATGTATTTAGATGGAAGGAAACCAACTAGTGCAAAATTATAGGAAATAATCAAGGAATAACAAAACCCACCAATAGTTACAAGCCTCGGCCAGAGATACAAGAAGTATCTGATCCATAGGATATTCACTCATTTATGCATTAAACATGTCGAGTGCCTACTGCACCCGGGTGCTGGGAATGTGTCCCCAAACACACAAGAGGCTTCTGATGTCATGAAGCTTGATTTCTATTAGAAGTGGAGCCTAGCAGTCTTGGAAGGGGCATGCTGGCTGTAAGACCAGCTAATGCAGAAGCCCTGAGGTGCAATGTCCTGTGGCGGATCAAGCTAGTCCCATTTGAGGAACTGAAAGCCAATGTGGATACCAAAATCAACCTAAATAACAAACATCAGCTGGAGCATGATAAATCCCCAAGACAGATGCTGACAATCCCGTGGGAGTTCAGAATCAGGGCACCGACTGCCCCGAGCCAGAGTTTGGAAGCAGGTCTCAGGGAAGTGTTTGGACACACGGAGGAGCAGCAGGGTGTTCTGGCCATGAACAGCGTGCAGAACATGCCCAAGAGGGGGGTGGGGGACAGGCTGGTGCTGAGCTCCGCTGCGGAATTCCAGGGTAATTAGCAGAACCCGATGGGAAAGACCCTGATGCTGGATGGCTGAGGGCCACTCGCACACAGCGAGGAGTCTGAGCCGGGAAAATCCTGAAAAGGGAGACCAGTGTTTCCACCAGGGCCGTGCCGGGAAGGCTAAAGCTGGCAGTCTCTCAGCCCTGGGACCTCGAAAGACCTTTCGCACAGCTCAGTGGAGACCACGGCTCCCTCAGTCCCAGGCTAAGCAGCTTCGCTTTGCCTGCGGGGTGAAGGGAAAATTCCCCTCTTGCTTCCAGGACCTGGCGCTGTGTGGAGTTTTCAGCCTCACCCATCGGCTGCCAGAGCCCCTGCCCTCTTCCCTGATTGCCAGCTGCAGACATCATTACACAGCCAGCGTTCCCTGGGTCCAGCTTTCTAGGCTCGGCCCTGGTGGGCGGGCAGCACCCTTGCACAAAGCTCTGAAGGCAAGAAAGGGGCTGTGGCCCCAGCCCTGCTCTGGGGGATGCAGGGGCTTCCGGGCCTGGCTCTGCCCTTCTGCGGTCAGCGGGAGCCCTGCCTAACCTTGGTGACCAAGGCAGGAGAAACACAGGCGACTCTTCCTCTCTTGTAATCGTTTGCTTTCCTAATAATCAACACACTACAAAAGAACCCTGAGGAAAGTAGCATGAGTGGCACGTCCCTATAATTCCAGGACTGAGAGGCTGAGGCAGGAGGATCACAAGCTTGAGCCCAGCCTGGGAGGCTTAATGAGACTCGCTCTCAAAATGTTAAAATTGTCAGAAAGGCGAGGAATTTAGCTCAGTACAAAAGGCCCTGGGGCGGGGGGCGGGGGTTTAGTTTAGCAGCACAGCGCCTGCCTGGCAAGCGCAAGGTCGTGAGTTCGATTCCCGGTACCGGAAAAAAAAAAAAAAAAAAAAAGAAGCCCTGGGTTTAAGCCCCAGCAGCAAAAACAAAAATAAAACCAAGTACAGTGAACCAAGACCTTGAAGCAACTCCCCCGCCCCCCTGAAGATTCCCCCTAGAAGCAGGTAGAGCAAGAGGCAAGGAAAAGCGCCTTCCTTTCAGGACAGGCGGGACACCCGTGTACAGCCTGAGGAATAACGCCAAGGTCCCATGTGCAGAAGCAGCAGCACCCGGCCTCGGCTGTCCGGAGAAGCTGCGGGCTGCGGGAGACCATTTCAAAGTCCGGATGCTCAGGCGCTGCAGCCCTTTTAAACCAGACCAGCTGGTCTCCCCTCGGCGACCTAGACCCCCAGGCTGTTTCTTCTTCCAAACAAACCTCAGCAGGAGTGCAGCCCCCTCTCCCCGCAGCCGAGAGAACTGCAGGCGCACAGGGCGCAAGCGTACTGCGGGGAGCCGGCACTGCCGCTCGTGTTCCAGAGAACGGTCCGGACGGCGGCCTGGCCAGTTGGCTCCAGGCGGACAGCCCTTTCATACTGTATTTAGAATGTGGGGGATTTATGGCCACGAGTGACTTGTACCGACCCAAGGGAAACTATTGAGGGATTAATCTAATTAAACAAGGACAAAAGAATAAATACAGACTGGGCTCTGACAAAACAACGTTGCTATCTTCCTGGCAGTGGCCACTTCCATTTGAAACAAGTACAGATGTTTTTTTGGATGATTCCTTCTGCTCTTGAAAAACAGCACTTTTTTTCCTCATAGCCTGGAAGGATTTCACTGAAGAGTGATAAAACCGGCTGAGGGGATGGGGGAGATTTTGTCTTCAGTGCCTCTGGTCCCCCAGGGCAGCCTTCCACCTCCTCTTCCTGGTGACCCTACCATGGCCATGACTTCAGCGAAACACAACTTCTCCAAGTTCACTGGGACTAAGGCTCCGGGAGCATACGGACACGGCGCCGTCTGGAACTTGCACACGGTCCCTCGTATTGGAAGGACTTGGTCACAAGGGACCATCAGTCATACTCTTGGTGCTCCTTGAGGGGCCTCCACAATAGTGGTTTAGCAGACACGGTTGTTTAGCCTGGACAATCTTCTTCCGGGCCAGCCTGGAGCACTGCCTCCATGAATGAAAGTTCCTGGGCAGAAATGGGGTCACTGGTAAAGAGCCTGGAATAGCCTTTACTCTCCCTTTAGCAAAGATAAATATTTTGAGCAGCTAACTTTTGCACTGTGAGGTGGAAGATGGCCCGAGAAACTTGGAAGCTACAGGCTCTGTCCCTCTCCTGCACCTTTCAGATCCAGTCAGTTCCCGGGCCCTGTTGGCCTGCTTCTCTTCACCTCTCCTGCCAAGCTGGAGCCTTTATGTCTCTTGACCAGACCACAGTGGTAACCTCTATGACAGTGAAGCTGGACTGTCCACCTGACTGGCTTGAGAACTCTGGTGATCAGTAAAGCACCTTTCTGGGTGGGTCATAGAGGTGCGACCTTGGGGTCTATAGCTCATCCCTGGTCCCTTTGTCCCTGGTCCTCTTCATTCCTCTGATTCTTGGCCACAGTGAACTACAAAGTTTTGCTCCAC